GTCAGGTCTTCAGTTCAAGAAGCATCTAAGCGGAAGACTGGTACTCGCGAAACAAATTGGGAATATGGCGTTACGGCAATGTGGGGCGCTCATGGGGAAGAATCGAGGCGTCTCTGTCGGAATCTTCACCGAAATATACAATAAAGTACTACTACCAATCATTCTATATGCCTATGAAATATGGGGAGGAACTATTGCAAATAAAACCATAAGAGAAGAGATAGATCTTTTGGGGGCTAGCTTCCTTAGAAGAGCTTTAAGGGTTAGAAGGAGTACACCCCGTCCACTACTATATATTGCCTCTGGAGTGATGCCACTATCGCAATTGGTGGCAGAGAGAGTAGTTCTGGCTCACATCTACAAAAGACCAATGGACATGCATATGAAAGGGAAGGTAGGTACTACCAAATTTCGAGAGCTGCTGGAGGAGTGGGGCTTCCCCACCACTCATCATCACTGTGAGGATAATACACCTGGAAAAGTTGTCAAACGCGCTGATACCAAATTTCGTCTTTCTCTATTGAGAGATTACCATATTGTTAGAATGGTATCCTCTTTATCTGAACCCTTACGAAGGGCTGTACGAAGTTCGAGGCAGAGAGAATGCTTGCAGTGCGTTGTGCGGACTAGCAAAAACGGTGCTTTCTTACAACTCTTATCTGGGCACTCTCCTCTGTTAAACGCCTATGTGTATCGGCCCGGCATCAATGTCGCGGCTCATGATATAAACTGTAACCACTGTGGAGTAAAAGATGATAGCTCACACTTATTGCTCGATTGTAAGCGACCGGATCGGTCACGTTTTCGGCCTTCCTTTGTGGACGAGAACGGAACTCTCGGGCAGATAACAATTTGTGTGAAGCGATGTGCAGCGGTCGCTAGCTTTTGCGAGAAAATATTCTTTAGACACTTGCGGAATGGAGGTTGAGAGCATTAAAAAGCCTTACTGAGCTCATGGGGATGCCTAATCGAGTGAAGCTGTGTGGCAAGACTGAATACTTCGAGTCCTAGAGATGAAGCTTGTGGTCTCGCACCTTGGGAGCCATTGTGTTTTGGGTAGTTGTACACAGGCCCTTGGTTGCGTAAGTGAATTCTGCTAGGAGTAAGATCTCTTGAGACTAGCTACATTCGTTTTTGGTAAACCCTACAGTGACAGTAACAGTATAGGTATTAAACTCTCGCTCTGAAGCTGCACATGGAATGGATAGTCTAACTAAGCCAATTTTCGGCGTTGGACTATAAACTCACACACACGGTTGCGATGACAGTCTTGAACGCCCACAGTTATTGCTATAACTGGGCCTGAATAATCTTTCAGTGATAAACTCTACAAGGTGGGCGTTGCGACTTTCCAAGGGCCTTTAGGACCTGAAGTTTAGGTCAGTAGGCCGTATTCAGGGATGGAAGAGGGAGGGTTAAAATTTTGCAAGAGCTACCTGTCACTATTTGGTGACCTTATGGTCGAACCAGGCTCAGCTCGACAACGGGCCGTGCCCGACCAACACATCGTATTTGTTATTAATCTTCAGTTAGAAGATGCCCCTATGGCGGGTGCTTCAATGTAGTGCAAATCCAATATCTTTGTTTCGTGCATTGTGTCTGAGATTATTTGGGGTGTGTGTGCGGCGCTCCCTTAATCTCAGGAGATTTCACAGCCGCTACATTCGCAAGCTCATTCAGCTTATCAGTATTAAACTCTCGTTCGGCAGCTGCACATAGTATGGATAGTCTTACTAAGGCTTAGTAACTAAGCCTTCTCCTGCGTTGGACTATCAATTCACATACACACACACTTCCTCAATTGGGGGAATACAATTGTTACTCCATTACTACTCATTGTTGTGAGACAGTATCACGAACCCACAACTACCATACATGAGCTAGCCGGTGTCGGGTCAGGCGGCCCGCCTATAATATAGGCCCTATATGTGTCGCAGTACCGAAACGTCCCTCTATTGGTTGCCCGGTGTGGCTGGTCTTCAAGCTGCGCCAGTATGAGCCGAGCCTCACTGCTTGTCCCTGATCACTGTCCCCCAAGACTCTCTGATCAAGAGGTTGACGGCCAAGCGCCTGCTTGGGTTCGAGAGAAAAACAAATGATGATGTCGATTGAGGTGCACCTAGTGACGTTCAATCCGGTGGCGCGATGAAACGAAGTGCAATGCAGCTTCTTCATTACGGTTCTGCGGCTTCAATCGCGAGGGTGGCACGAACCACGAGGAGCCACCATCCCGGTTTTCTGTGGGATGAGTACCCATATACCTCCAGCTCTCTAATGACAACTCAGGGCATACCACTGCAGTAGGCCCTACTGAGTAGGGCACGACCGAGCCTGGGGGCCGAGTGGTTCCGCGGTCAGAGTGTGCTGTAACCATTGTGATCGTTAGGATCAGTTGCCGTCGGGAGACACGACTGTCGTGAAACGCCGCCGGCTGATCGTGGGGAGGCGCTATCCTAGATGGCACTGTGCATGACCTTACTGTTTCGTCGATAATGTTTCGGAAACTCAACTCTGGAATGGAAACATTGTTTCCATTACAGAGTTGAGTTAAACTTTAACTGTTAAAGTTCATCTTGAATAATGATTGGGCTCAGCATGCGTCTAACAATGATGATAATGTTCAGTGAACGGTCGATTATGGCACAAGTTATCAGGGTAAGGACAGAGCGCGTGTTCATCCCAGCTTATGGTTATGCTCTCCTTGGTGATGTCGCAGTCGATCGTCAAGAAATGCACGCTCTGGTCGACACTGGAATATCTGCCTTATACTTCACGTGGAAATGGTGGTACGAGCATTATACTCATCCTGGGGCATGCGCCACCCTCATTACTGGATGCTATCAATGCCCAGAAGGATGTTACATTGGTCCAACAACTCCTATAACCTATGCCGATGGTACTCGAGTTGACATATTCTCGAACGAAGGACATTTGGCTTTCGCACTGGGTGCGGTCAACTCCATCCAGTTTGGCGTGGTGAGCGGTCAAAACCCGGGTCCTGACCGACATCCGCCAACGAGCTCTATTGGCCTCGGCCTCAACGTCATCCCTGGTTATCGTTCCCTGATGGATCAACTACAGGGGAAAGTAGCTAGCCGAACCTTTGCTATGTATCTCAGAAGTTCATCGTCTGCTCGCACTAAGGGCGAACTTCTACTCGGTGGTGGTGATCCTAGGGTATACGTGGCACCTCTCCATTTCGTTCCACTGCTAAGCCAACAACAATTCCTCGTGACTATTGATACGTTACAAGTTAGCGGTCGAGCCAAAAGATCGGGAATTAACATGCCCATCTTGGTCGATACCGGTGTCCAAGGTTTAATAATCCCTCGAAACTTTGCTACCGATTTCATAAGGGATATATCTGATCAAGCGTCGGAGATGGCTAGAGCCAGAGTTCATATCGCCTGGGTACCTGCTCAAGGAATATGGGTTTTTGACTGCTCATATATCTCCTATTTCCCAATGCTGTTGATCGGCTTAGGCCGCGGAGGTTCTGTTCTACTAACCGTGGCCGGTAAGTACTACACCCGTAATATTGGTGGCCTGTGCAGCCTAGGCATGACTCTTGGAGACAAGTGGTCTCTGCCCGAGTTCATGTTCATCGATAGATACGTAGAGTTTCGACCAAGTCAGAGAAGGATAGGCTTTGCCAATCTGGTGTAGCGATCGATCGTCTTGACATCATTATGAGTCTTTAACCTACCAATCTTCATCCAACTATCCTGTATTATCGCATGTATTCCGTATGCGAGCGGAGCCGCTATTCGTCAGCCAGTGACAGCTTATTATAAGAAATCTAGCTTTTTTCGCTTGAACTGCTACGAATCTTGTCGGCATACTCACTCGTATGTTCAGATTTGGAGTGACGTAACTATCTCGACGATGCTCGCTTGAGTATGTCTCCTCTGGAAGCTCTCCAGGGCAAATAGTGTGTACAGCTACTGCCCGCACAAATAGGAAAGTAGTCTAAGACAGTTGTCCTGTCACAGTTCTGTACGCACGGTGCGCAACGCATCCCCTTGTATTGTCCCATACGTGTGAGGTTAGTATTACTAACTTAGTACCCCACAGTCTTCACACATTGGTGTGAGAGATATCTGTCGTCTACTTATCTCTACTCTTAACCTTAGTATATTAGATCTAAGGTTTGGATGATCTAACTTAGATCTTCCCTTGCGTTATGCCAGTAACGGGACAGATGTCACTGGAAGCTCGCGAGTTCGTAGATTATTTCGAAACGACTCGTGAGCAGGAGTTGGTATGTCAAGATATATGAATGCAGTTGGAACACCCACACCAATGCCGCGAAGGCGAGGTCTTCAAGGCTCTCTGTAAACTGTGATAATGCGGCACTCATACAGGCCTTACAGGCATGATACCCGGGGTACAAAGCCAAGATGAAAAGATACCTCCTAACAGTACAACAAGATGGCCTTGACCTTGCTAACGCAACGGATCAATGGAAGGGAGTATCTCTAAAAAACAGACGGTATTCGAAAGAGTCTACGGTAGGGTCTCCGAAGAATATACTGTGCATACGCAGCCAGGACAAACTTTTTTCTGGGCTGCGCAGTGCTTCATACTTCAAGTAACTTGATCCGACAGTCGCATTGATATGCCGAAAAGTTAATAATTTGATTAATATTTCTTCTGGACAATGCATAGAGGAGAAGCTGAGCCCGAGGCAATCTCATTAACCAGCTCATCATCTTCGCATTAGTAACGGATTAAAGTTCTTTCGCTCACAATGACCCAGTGACGTTAATACTTTTGTTGTAATATAAAAGGTATCTTGAATTCTTTGTAGTGCGGTACTCGGTCCGATTGCTCATAATCGATCATAGGCAGGGCGGAGGAACGAGCTTTCTTGATTACACAACTCATCACGAAGCCGGCATCAAGTGAGTGCCTATTCATTGAGCGCCGACAAGGTCAGCGAGAACCGCCTGAGCTAAGATGATCATATAGCGTCGAGCAATTAAAAAGTTGTGTCATCAGCCTTCTTAGCTTAGTTGTAGAGCACCCTCTTAGTAGGCGGGAGGTCGTCGGTTCCTTTCCGACACAAGGCTAAAGCAGTGCTTTTGAAGCATCGCTTCCTATATAGTACACGTAAACACAACTTCAATGACCGAATGCAACAACAATCTGGAAGATATTATAGACGGCATGAACACACTTCTTAATCACTGTCATCTTTGAGCCTGTGACTAGAACCTGCACACAAAGCCATGCGGAGGACAATGCTGGGCCAACTACCGCTGAATGCTCTAAATGTCTCCCTGCGACCATCCCGGCCGACAGCACCATAATCGCTGTTATCGACTCGTGAGGCAGCACTCAGTCTTTGAGACACCCTCTGTTCCACCGATATTGCGTAAGTAGGCATGAAGTGGTCGAAAAAGTAATCGCTCTGTACCCGATACGCTAAGACCTGAAGAAGCAAAGACTTCACAAAGTCCACTGACTTTGGGAAGTCCTACCGCTACGAAGAAGCTCAAGCCCATGAAGACAACAGATACGATGAGCACGCCCGATGCAAGGTTGTAGATGAACGCAGGGTATTCAACAGGCTTCCCTTCGTGGTTCTCAACAGTAATGGTCTGCAAGGAGGATGTTCTCTCCAAATGAAATCAGCCGAGCTCACTTCAACGCCTATGGCAAAAAGCCTGGACGGCCGGCGGTCCGTGCCAATCGCACGGAGCAGTAACCTGATAGGACGGCGCTAACGCTGACGAGCAGCTACTATTCGGCTCACTCGATGAAGTCGAAGAAAGCGTTGAGACCAGCGAAAACTGCGTACATTGCGCAGTGCGAGATATGCATCTTGCACCTAAGCGTGGATTAATGCAATACAGAAGCATTCTCAAACAGTCTCACTCAGGCCCGGCAATATACGCCGCGTAGCTGCCTAGTACGCATAGCACCAATGCGGCCCATACCTGCCTCGTATACAGTCGACCGACAACGCCTGAAGTATGGCACTTTCTCGAGAGTAACAAATCATGCTCCTACAGGCGAGCATTATGAAGGAGCAAATTCCCATAGCGACTCTCAATGCCTTCACCTTGCCTGATCATCGCGATGGCTTGCGAAGCTGAGTATCATACTGGGCGCTTTGTATCGTACTTTTTATCGTTGCTGGGAGATCTGCGTCGTAATTATCATCGTATAGTAGAGGATTCGGTGATCCTACCCCAGTCGCCATGAGGCCCTCTTGGGCAATAGGGGCAACTGAGTGTGGTGTGAACTTTATTGACCAACGCAAGATAGATCAGATTGGACATCTGTAACATCGCAATGCTACGAAGGAAGAACACCATGTGACTGATCTACTGCCACTTAACTATTGACTTCGATCGAGGTAAGGTTGGATGGTGACACCTAGGGAACGATTAAGTCACTAGTCTGCGCTGGAGGTCTCACCTTGGTTTGGACCAGCTGCCTGATGGCCCAGTGTCACCGGGAGTCTGCACCAGGAATGTCTTCGCCTAAGATGCTGCCATCGCTGTAAGTATCTCATGACCACTCACCTTCTGGTCCCTAGTAGCTGTGCCGAAGCCGAACGTTGGAGCGTTGGTATTTCGCGACTCGTACTGAGGACCGATGCCTGCCATGGTGATAGGAAGCGGAAACCATTATCATGGACTTACTGCTTGCAACGCTGCGTGAAGTAAAATCGCCTTTTAAGCTTGGCGGCGGAGGAGAGCTTCCCTGGAACAGACAGCGATATCGAACCAAAAAAATCTCCTATGGGCTCGCTGTTACCTGATTTCTCTCCGGAACCCTCCGCGCTTTGCTAAAACTGTAGGTGGAGAGATTCCGCCTATACAGCTGCCCTATAGCAAGCACGCCAACCAGGAAGCCTACCTCTGGCTTAGGTATTGTACTCCGACACTAGGCGGGAGAGGATAGGTACCTGGACCCACTACAGGGGGAGTCTGGCATTCGGAGGCAAGTATCTGAGTAAACATGTCATCAGACAACACTCGACCAACAAGCTCGTC